TGCGCGATCCGAGCCCAAGACCTCCAGAGCAACGGGGCGGTGCAGAAAAGTGTCGGCAGCCTCGTCAACAGTGATGTCACCGATGCGTGAAATCAAACCAGCCTCCACCCCAAAGTAGTCATAATTACGGCCGGGCATCGTTTGCCTGCTCGTCGCGGCCTCGCCCGACACCAGGACTCCGCCAATGGAGTTGAGCCACGGCGTAAGCACAGGCGGCTCCACGTTGAAATCGCCGCCTACAATCCACGTGTAGCCCTGGCAGGACATGTCCAGGAGGAAATACCCCACCTCTCCCAGGATGGCCAGGTTGGCCGCGTCGAGCCCGGCGGAGTCGCGGAGGTAGATCGACGCGCAGATGATGCCGCCTGCAACTCCCCAATGCGCGTGGCCCGCGACCGCGTAGCCCTGTACCAGCACGCCTGACGCGCGCCCGGGGGGGAGCGACATCTGGATCCCAGCCCGCGCCAGGACAGCGCAGCCGCCGTGAGTGCCTCCCGCAGTCGACGGGGGGGCCGCTCCCAAGCGCCGTGGTACCCAAGGTTCTGGACCCTCTGCTGCAGCGCCGCCGCCTTGTCACCTCCAGCGTGTTCTTGAACGAGAACCAGCTTGGAGCAGAAGGCGTCCTGGGCCAGCAGGTCCTCCAACTTCCCGTGCGACGAGACGTTGGTCGCAGTGATGAGGCCCTTGACTGGCTGCACGCCGATGGAGGCCGGCGGCGCCTTGACGACATCGGCGTCGAGGTCAAAGCGGGCAGCCAACTCCGGACTCGGCGGCGACGAAAATTGGGCACCTCTGCCCCGCGAACGTGGCCGAAATTCTGTGGATCCATCTCCCTCCCCCTGCAGGTGGAGGACGGAAGGTGCGTGACAAAGGGGAGGCAGGAAGGAAGGCGCAGTCGACGCAGAGGCCCCAGCCGACGTCGAAGGCCGAGCCGTCGCAGAGGCCGATGCCGAAGTGGAAGACCCAGACGTCGCGATACGCCCGCGGCCACCGGACGCGCCTTCAAGCCTCCCGCCAGCACACGAGCCGACACTACCGAGAGGGCGCCCGTAGTATGCAGTCAACGCAGGTCGTGGACAGCCGACAAGGCCGACCACTCCATTGCTGCTGGAGGCCGACGCCGTCGTCATGGAGGCAAGCAGAACGAGGCAGCTAAGAAGACGCCCTCGGCCGCTTTGCGAACGAGGACAGGCCCTCGCCCAGCCGCTTGGCTGCATTGCGGAGCTCGCCCTCGTCCATCGGCACTTCCACGCCCATGGCCTCCAGGAAGGCCTTGAGCACCTCCGGGTCATCGACCCCTGTGGGAATCCAGCTGGCGCCAGCCTCGGGGCCCGCCTCGGGGCGAGGCTCAGGAGCACCTCCAGGATGAGCACCGCCAGAGGAAGCCGCTCCAGGCTCAGGCTGCGCAGCTGGAGGGGGGTTCTGCGCCTGCTCGCGTGCTGCCTCAGCCTCGCGGTCGGCTTTGGCCTTGACAGCGGCCTGGCGCACCCTGCCCATCACCGAGACCAGCTCGCGCGCGAGGTCCCCGCTGGCGCCGAAGCTGGTGACCACCTGCTCCAACTGGGTCGCCGACATCTGCACGGAAGGGAGGACCGCGCTGAGCGACGCCTGCGCCCCCTCGACCGCGGTGGTCGGCTGAGGAAAGTGGGCCGCGACGAGCGTGCGCTGCGCTTCGAGGTCGGCCAGCTCCACCTTGATGTCGGTCAGCCCCTGGGCCATCTCCTGGCGCTTCGCCTGGAGCTCGCGGAGCTGCTGGTCGACCGCCTCCAACTGCTTTTCCTTGGATTCCTTCCGCTTCTCCACAGCCAAGATCTGCTGCGAGACGCGTTGGATCTGGATGGGGAGCAGTTTGGCCTGTAATTGGCGCGTGCGGAGCTCAGAGAGCTCCTTGATGGATGCTGCCCGCAGGGCTCCCACAGCCCCGCTGCTGTCAGGCAGCTTCTCGAGGATGTCGATCTGCTCTCGAAGCTCCTTGATACGGTCGGCGTCCTTCTCGCCACCGTCTCCAGCATCGACGCCCATAGCAGGTGCCACAGGGGCTTGCGCCCCGGCCGCTGCCAGCTTCTAGGCCTCTGCCAGCTCCTTCTTGACGCGCTGGAGCTCCGCGTTGGCCTTCTTGAGCTCCTCCGACTTAGCCGAAACGGAGGGCGCTCCTCCACTGCCCCCGACCGAGTGGAAGCAGTTGCCCTTTGAACGCTTGCAGAGCTTACAAGCTGAGAAGCTTGCCCCATTCCACCAGCGCCCCCCTGTGCGGTCGTTCCAGCAAAAGCGGCAGTTTCAGGTCTTGGCATCCGCCTGCCGTTAGGTGGTGGTGGTGGTAGTGCCGAGCAATGAGATTCGAGGTTGACCCGCACGATAATCGAAAAATGATGGACCTTCGAACTCTGCCCACCCGATTCACTCGCTACAGGCAGCCCACACTTCACGTCTCGCACGACGAATGCATGCAGCATGATATCCCTCGGAAAGAGCTCGGCTGCTGCCGCCACCAATGAGCCATGGGCAGCCCCTGCGCCTCGCAGTTGCCCAGCACAGTCTGCAGGCGATCTTCAGAGAAGACGAGCCCCAGGTCCCTAAGCGTCCCAGGTGCCGAAGTCCTGCCGCACCGCCACTCATTCTAGAAGAGTGCCGCGTTCATCCTGAAGGCAGCAAGTCTTGATACGTGTCGACATCATCCTGTCGGTCGTCCCCTCTCTTGTCGTCCACGATCGTTTCACCTTCCTCTTGCTGCTGATCGCCCACACGCTGTTGAACGCCATAGCGCTGTTGACCATCCTTTGGCTGATTGCCCGCAGGCTGTTCATCGTCCGCACGTTGTTGACCATCCTCTCGCTGTTGATCGTCCTCACGCGGTCGATCGCCTGGCTGGGATTGGTCTCGCTTGCGCTGTTGACCGTCCTCACGCTGTTGATCGTCTTCCCGATATTGATCGTTCTCAAGCAGCTGCTCATCCTCGCGTTTGATCGTCCACGCGCTGTTGCTCATCCTCTCGCAGCTGATCGCCCTCGCGCAGTAGATCGTCCACGCGCTGTTGGACATCTTCTCGTTTTTGAGCGTCCTTTCGCTGTTGATCACCCACACGCTGTTGATCGTCCTTTCGCTGCTGATCGTCCCCACGTTATTGGTCATCCTCACGCGTTTTATCGCCTAGTGTTGATAACCTTCTCGCTGTTGATCATCCTCACGCTGTTGGTCGTTCACAGGATGTTGATTTTCCAATCGCTGCAAATCTTCCTCTCGCTGTAGATCATCCTCCCGTTGTTGATCGCCCACACGCTGTTGATCGCCCTTGCGCTGTTGATCATCCTCAGGCGATCGATCTTCCACACGAAGCTGTTCATCCTCTCTCTCTGTTTATCGCAATTGTGATGAAGCGGATCGCCCTTGCCGGATCAGCACGCCCAGGGAAAACTGAGGTTGGTGTGTCTATAGCAGTCGGGTCCCGTGTTCAAGCAGTTGAACCTCGTTGACCAGAATCATGATGGCAAGATGCGCCATTGCCTGAGGGAAGAAACGTGCACATGCACATGAAAGGTCTTGAGCCAAAAGCGGAGGAGGAGGAGGAGGAGGAGGAGGAGGAGGAGAGGGATGAGGAGGATAACAGAGGACGACGAGGAGAAGGAAGAAAGCCATGCTCGGTGATCGAGGTTAGAGGAGGAGGGGGAACAGGAAGGACGAGGGGGGAGGAGGCTCCGGGATCGAGATTTGAGGATCGAATCAGGGGTCGCTGCGTGTCGACGCTCTGGCGCGTGTCTCCGGCACCGCCTGCGGGTCCCCGTGAGCCTCCGGGGGCCTCCTGGGACTCCAGGGGAGCACGTCGTGCCTGCGGGGGGAGGAGGGGTCGAGGCTCCGGGATCGATGCTCCAGATGCTCGAGGCTCAGGGCTCGAGGTCCGAGGCCTTCGGGGGGTCGAGGCCCGAGGGTCGAGGATAGCGCGTCGAGGTCTTCCCTCGCTTGCGGCCCCCGAGGGCGCGCTTTTGTTCGGCCCCCCGGGCGGGTCAAACTGCTGGTCTGGGAGGGGGCGTCAGCCAGGAGGTGGCCCCTGGGAGGGGTCCAGGAGCCAACCTAAGCGGTTCTGCAAGGAGTTTGAGAAAGATGAGGAAGAGGAGGGAGATGAGGCGGAGGAGGAGGGAGGAGAGGGCGCGGAGAGAAGGGAGGAGGGAAGAACGAGAAGGGAGGAGGGAGAAAGAGGGGGGGAGGGAACAGGAGGAAAGAAACAGGAGGTTCGAAGGGGGGATGATGTTGAAGTGGGGCGCAGGAAGGAGGAGAAGAGAGGGAGTGAGGGAGCAAGAGGAAGGTATAATAATGTGGACGGAGGAATCAGGACTAGGAAAAAAGGAAGGGTGAGGAAGAGGCGAGGAGGAGGAGGAGGAGGAGGAGGAGGAAGAGGAGCTCAAGAAGGAGGAGAAGCAGGGGGGAGGAGGCTGGCGGAGGGAAGCGGACCAGAGAGGAGGGAGGACGGGAGGACTGAGTTTCTTAGAGGCGAAAGAGAGAAGGGGCCCTCAAGGGATTTCGGGATACATAACATTCGAGAATCCTGTATAGATAGGGTCGGGTCTGTACGGGTCTATCAAGGAAGGCTCAAGGAAGCATGATGAGCAGGCGGGGAGGAGAAACAGGAGGGAGGATGAGGATGTTGATGAAGAGGGAGCAGGAGTAAGAGGGAGATCAGCAGGAGGAGCAGCAGCACAACAGGGATACCGAGCAGGAGGAGGATGGGGAGGCAGGTGGCCAAATGACAGTGTCTGATCTTCCCCCTCGGTGCCAAGCGATGCCGAGTCGTGCCCAGGCAAAATGCTGCTCGACGTGCTCTCTGTCCAGAAGCTTGTTGGGTGCGGGCGGGGGCCCCAGGAGGCAGGAACCTCCTCCACCCAGAGACCCCGAGAGTCCCCAAGAGCCCAGCAGAGCCTCCTCGAATCCCCTCGAGCCTCCTCCTGCCGCCCCCCCTCCTGGCCTCCAACTCCCACCCCTTCCTTCCCTAGACCTTTGCGCATCTGATCCTCGTAGTTCCAGAGCAGCGCGACGCAGTTGGAGTCGGAGGTGGCGGCAGGGTGCAGCACTACGTGGCTCAGCACCACCACCTGGGGGGGGGGCGTGACGAAAACCATCCTTCTCGTCACCAGTGTGGTCCTCCTCTTCATGATGCTGCCTGCCCTCAGAGCCAGGGGCCGTGGAGGAAATCACGAGCGGCATGTTCGCCCAACGCTCGGGCCCAGAGATCCTTACGTATGGGTCCACCTCGAACGCTCTCATGTCAAGGTGCTGTCGAGAGCCCTGGCTGTATTTGTTCAACGACGTTGGATGATTCCACGTCGTCGGATATCTGGAATTGGGTGATATGGATCATCCGTCTCACCATCATGGTCTGGAAACATCGGGGCGAAGCAACCATAGGGTCTGGCATGCGTGCTGCCCACTACGACAACCTCGAAATACTGCAACTTGCACGACACTTGCAATGCATGTTGCTGCAACTGCGGCTTCCAAAAAATCTACGCGTGGCTACATCATTCCCGCTGTAACTGCTGTTCCCTGATGTGTCATCACCCGGACTCGACCACCCTGAGCATTGCCCTAGAGGGAGCTCCGGCGAGGGCGCCAGTGGCAGTATCTGCATGCCTCCAGGACCCCCGAACCTCCGGGAAGCATACCGTTCAGAACAGAACCATCTCAGCTCAATTCGCCCGAGACGCCGGGTCGAGGGGGGGGCCAGGGTGCTCGGGGTCCCAGGCGTCCCCAGCTCTTTGCGCCACTCTGGACCTGGCGAAGGCTCATGAGCAGGAGGCTGCTTCTTAGGAGGCGCGGGCCCCACATCTACAGACAAGGCCCGCGACTTCTAAGAGGCAGGGGTGCTTCTAAGAGGCAGGGGTGCTTCTAAGAAGCCTTCCACCCTATCACTACCCCCCTCTGCGCGTGGCTGAACCTTGGGCCAGGGCCAAGGCAACACCCGATTAGAAGTCTGGGTTCTTAGAGGCCTCCTAGATGGGGTCAGAGTAGATGGGGTCGGAGGATCGGCGATGCATCGGCGACGTCGGCGTGGAGAAAATCGGGATCCACATCGAGCCGCATCGGCGATGCATCGGCGATGCATCCGCGATGTGGCGCGATCCTCCGACCCACGCTTCTCCGACCCCATCTGGGAGGCCTGCAATTATCTACCCTGGATCCTGCTCGCCGTCCTCGTGCGACTGCCGCAGGGACTCCCGCAGCCACCGCAGCTGCTCGGCCCCCAGCGCCTCTGGAGGGGCTCGGTGTGTAAACCCTGTCCGTCTGGGCCGGCCAGGGAGCCAAGGAGCTCACCGAAGCAATCCAGTGGCCAAGACCTCCCTCGCGTCGTGAGCAGCTCACCGCCAAATCTTTTCGGCCGTCTTCGGCCCCCAGGGCTCCCACATGGCTTCGGGGAAGTGGTCGAGATCTCTAGGGAGCCCAGCACGGACGTAAGCGCCCAGCCACTTACATGAGTACGGCCCCCACGTCCGCGAGGCCAACCTCGTGCTACGAACGTTCGCGCAATGCGTACTTTCGAAACCAACGTGGATGCATGTACGTGTGTCCGTCGGTCGGAAGAAGTGGGTAGATACATGAATGAAGTAGGAAGGCGATAAAGTAGGTTTGTCTTCCGCCCGCCCCCCGACGAGGAGAGAAGAGGGGAAACCGCTCGACTCTTGAAGTAGGAAGGTGGCTGAAGTACAGTGGGATCTGTAGAGGCCTCCTAGATGGGGTCCGAGTAGACGGGGTCGGAGTATCGCGCCGCATCGGCGATGCATCGGCGACGTCGGCGGGGCATCGGCGACATCGGCGTGGAGAAAAGCGGGCTCCACACTCCACATCGAGCTGCATCGCCGATGCATCCGCGATGCGGCGCGATCCTCCGACCCCATCTACTCCGACCCCTCTGGGAGGACTAGAATCTGGGAGTCCAAAAATACCTACTTTCAACGACCAGCGTGTGTCTGCTTCTTGCGACCCCCAAATCCCACACAGTGGCTACGCCTGCGGCGCGCACGAGCGGGTGGCGCCGAGCGGGGCGGTCTTCTGATAGGGCGGGGGGCTTTCACGTTCCTGGGGAAATCGGGGATCTACTGCCCGGGGTCGATCCAGACCCGGGGCAGTCGGGCTTTCAAGGATCCTGCAAGATCCTGCAGGATCCTGCGGGATCCTGCACCCAAGCCTGGGTCCATGCGCCTCTGGCTCTGCAAGATCCCGCAAGATCCGGCGCTCTGACTGAGCCCTGTTTGCATTGACCACCGTCTCTTGAGCCCCGAAGAAACCAAAAGGCACCCATACCGCTACTCCCAGGACCTCTCCCAGGATGCGCTCTGGCCAAAGTCTCGAAGCGAAGCCAGCCGTGGTAACGAGGGCCTCCCAGGAGGATTAAAAAGGCAGAAACGATGGAAGGATACCGGTTCGGGCACCTTCTCGTAGCTTGAACCCCATAATTTGGGAAACCTGGGGCGTCCACACGCGGAGACCCTCGGCCGACCGGACGACTTGGTGTGTACTTCTCGGCGACACGCAGGAGTGACCCTGGGTGAGAGCAGCCCTTGGGTGCGCGGCTGCTCGCAGGCCGCGGGGGGGACCAAACACGAGCGCGCGAGACGCTGCTGTCGCGTCGCGCTCGGCGATCGGGGGGGGACCCCAATGTGGGAGGCCCGGAAATCGGCACCAACACCAACACAGGGGGCTGCCTCCACAGGGGGAAGATGATCCTCGATTTCGGTGTTGGTGGTAATATTTCGGTCACCTTGGGAGCCAGAATATTACCACCATCACCGAGATCGGGATCCTCTTCCCTCGGTGGAGGAACCTCTAGGCCTGCGACAGTGGGCCCGCCCCGAGGGTCCCTCCGGCGAAGGGCCGATGCTTCGAGCCCCCGCCACAGCGCCCCGTTGAAGGGCAGCCACCGGCTCGGGGGGCCCTCCGGCAGCCCCCGGGCGAAGTCCCCCGCGAGGATGTCGTTCGGGTTCCGCGCCTGGCACATCGCCACGGCGGCCGCGTCCAGGCCTTCGGGGCCCACCTCGGGGAGCGTTCGGGGACCTGGAGGTCGGAGAGGTGGTGTGGGGGCGTGGCGCCAGTCGTGGCCATGGCGATGCCATCGACGGTAGGCAGCACCGCCAGCCTCACTTGTGGCACCACACCCCTCTGCACCACGCACCCTTCCTACCTCCAGAGGAGGAGAAGGAGGAGGAGGAGGAGGAGGAGGAGGAGGAGGAGGAGGAGGAGGAGGAGGATACGAACCAAGCAGCGGGGTCAGCCGCTCCGGTGCGGCGGACTGGGCAGATCGCATCGTCGGATGCCTGGGGTAGGACGAAGCCAGGACGAGGGTAAATTCGGGTGAGGAAAATCGAGAATCTCTGAGGAAAATCGAGAATCTCTGAGATCCGGCGGTTCTGGAGGATGTCTCGGGCGCCGCGGCCTTCTCAGAGCGTTCCAGAACGCTCTGAGAGCGTTCCGGAACGCTCTGGAACGGATTTAGCCGATGGTGGCCGATCTCACGACCGAGGCATGTCGATGGTTTGATACTTTGCTGGCCCTCCAGGAGGAATGGGCAGATCGCATCGTCGGGCGCCTGGGGGCCGAGGTCTGGAGGACCTCCCCGTTGTGGTTTCCGCCCCCCCCCCCCGACCCTGCCTGCACCGTTCTTCAGTGGGGCACCCAAACGCCCGTTTTCGAATCCGACGGGGGCCGAGCCACGCCCCCCCAGTGTTCCTTCTGCCTCTTTCCGCCCTCCCCCCCTCCTCCTCCCTCCTCCTCCTCCTCCCTCCTCCTCCTGCCTTCTCCTCTTCCTCCCCCTCCTCCTCCTCCTCCTCCTCTCCTCCTCCTCCTCCTCCTCCTCCTCCTCCTCCTCCTCCTCCTCCTCCTCCTCCTCCTCCTCCTTCCTCTCATCCTCGTGTTCCTCCGTGACACGTGCGTGCTGGACTCTTGAGCAGCCCATTTGTTGGGCTGACCGAGGCCTGTGGACAGCCTGACGCTCCGCTGGGCCCCCGGGAGGCTCCCCGTCGCGGCCGGGGGGGTGCCTCGGGGCTCCTTGGTCGGAGCGCCCACGACGGGAGGCGCTGGGCGGTGCCTCAGAATCAGCGTGCCACCGCTCGGACGCCCATGCCCCGTGCACTTTTCGGCGTCGTGCGTGCTTCTTGCCTGCCAGATTACGGCAGGTTCGTGTCGTGCCGACCCCAGCGTTGGTTTTTGACACCGCAGGGATCGTTCAACCTTGAACGATCGGCCGCTGCCGCAACGTCCGATCGTTCAACATCGATCGATTCTGGGTCGCCAGCGGCGCTCAACCTTGAACGCCCGCGCTGGGGTCGCCGCTGGTCGACACGACGCAAACCTACCGTACCAAGGATGCTCCTCGCGGGGTCCTCGCCGAGCGAAAAAATGCACACGCCCGGGCGGCACCGGGTCGGAGCCAGGCACTGGCTCCCTGGGCCGTCAACGAGCGGCTCGGAACGGAGGGGTCTTCCGAACTCCATGGGGGGGTCCACGGTGCTCTGCGGTCCGTGGCAAGCGTGGGGGGGGGCGGTCCAGCCACGCCTCGTCGGCGCACGCAGCGCCACGGGGATCGCAGCGCGCTCGGCGCGCGGCGGTTGTCTGCGAGGAGATCCCTTGGAGAGACCGTCGGCCGGGGTGGGCGCCCCCCTCCCAGTGCTAATTAGGTGCAGGTCCTCCTCCTCCTCCTCCTCCTCCTCCTCATCGTCATCATCAGCATCACCACCACCACCACCACCACGACTATGATCATCATCATCATCAGCAGCATCATCACCACCACCATCATCAGCATCATCAGCAGCATCATCAGAATCATCATCAGCATCATCATCATCGTCTTCCCCGCCGCCACCACTACCACCACCACCATCGGCACCATCATCATCATCATCATCACCATCAGCATCGTCATCACCACCACCACCATCATCATCATCATCACCATCATCATCATCATCATCATCATCATCATCATCATCATCATCATCATCATCATCAACAACACCATCGTCATCATCATCATCGTCATCATCATCATAATCATCATCAACCTCACCCTCATCCTCTTCCACCACCTCCTCATCATCATCTCATCGTCGCTCTTTTGCGCTCGGCAAACATAAGCGACGATACTTTTGCTGATTACTCTGGACGAAGTCAGGGAGTCCACGATAGCATGTGGCAAACACCGAAACCGCCTGAATGCAGACTAAGCTGTGCAAGAGGTGCGAAGAGATACGGAAAAAAGGAAAACAACCGCGAGGGCATCTAGTACTAGATCTACAGGCGTCGCCAAGGTAGCCCCCTTCCCCTCACTTGCTCTACACCACCATAACCCCCTCCACATCGAGGCCCTCGTCGAGGTCAGTGCTGCGCGCGTCAAACTGCAATGTGTTCAAAGCTCGGAGCCTCGGGGGCGGCCCCCGTCCAGGGCTGCCACTCCGAGGACGATAATCTTCTTGCACGTCTGCTCCCGCCTCATCCACCTCCTCCGCCTCCGCACGACGTAACAATGATTGCGACGAAGCTACGAGGAAAACGGCAACTACTTTGCGCAATAAGGATCACAAACACCGTGAAACACGTGCTGCAGACAACCTCGTTCCATAGCTGCTCGATCTCGCGTGTGGGTCGCGGGGCGGGTCGCGGGTGGGACGACGACAACAACAAACAACAAACAACACACAACAAACAACAACAATAATCCGCATCGCGGAATTCCACTTCAGCCATGCACCCAGGGACAGTGAATGACCGTTCGGTTCAGCCCCCTCACTCTGATATACTCTTTTTTTGCGCACACCCCTCGCTCGGTTTCAAAGGAGCCACTGCACAGGAGTATGCGTGCCACGGCGCTGTTTTGCAGTCAGTCCAGCTCTCGCGGATCGTCCTCGGGGATCTCAATCACGATGCCAACAAATTTCGTCTTTCTGCCTTTCTGAAAAGAGTGCAGGGGCGCACATCCGTCAAGCCAGTACTGAATGCTGCGTCGGGAGTGCAGGCAGCTCACACGTTGATTTCTTGACGGCGCCCGAGAGCGGTCCTCCACGCACTCGCAGCCCGCCGGCCGGAGCAGACGTCCCCCGGAGTCCCCACCGTGCCCTCGAGCTCAGACGGTGTGGGCGAACGGCTTCTCCCTTTTGGACACCCGAAATGGGTACCGAAAGAATGGGTACAATGCCCACCAACACATGTTGTCTCAAACCAACGGCGGCCGCTGTTGGGCAGGCGGCCTTCTGCCTCAAAGTAGAAACAGGCCGCGGCGGCGCGGACAGCGAGCCCTGCTCAAAATGAACAGGAGCTGCTGTTGGGCATTGTGCTCATTCTTTCCGTGCCCATGTCGTTCGTGCAGATCCCTCGCACCCCTCCCCACCGCCCCGCGATTTTCGGGAGCGGCCAAGAGGGGGGTGTCCAAGAGGGGGGGGTGCAAATCATGACTGGCGGCATGTGCGCGGCCCAGCGGGGGGGCCAGGAACGTAATGAAATAAGAAGAGGCGCCATGAAATCTGGGGAAATATCATGGCCCCCGCCATGATATCCACCCCCCCCTAGTCATCACCCCCCTCTTTTCCGCCCCCGCGATTTACCCCCGGGCCCCCCGGCCAGCGGGCAGCCCCACCGCGGGCTCGAGCGCGCAAAAAGCGAGGCGCGGGCTCGGCGAGACAGCAGCGCGCCGCGTGTTGCGCGCAGGGAGCGCCCGCGCTCTCTCCGAGTGCGGCACGCGCTCCGCCGGCGCTTGTTCGACGGGGGCCGGGCCCGACACCCCCCTGGATCCCGAGGGTCCGAGGCGGGGCCCAACGTTGGTCCTCCTCCTCCTCCTCGCTCCTCGCTCCTCCTCCTCCTCCTCCTCCTCCTCCTCCTCCTCCTCCTCCTCCTCCTCCTCCTCCTCCTCCTCCTCCCCCCCCTTCCGAGGGTGACGTCGGCCAGGGGGTCGGGTCTTCGAGAGCTTCGGGGAGGACGAGGGCCCCTGGGCCTCGGAGTCGCGTTTTCGGCCGGCCAACGTAGTCTCCGGCGAGCGCAGTACGGATTGCAGCAGTCTCAGCGTCCCGTGCGAAAGTGATTCGAGGCCCACTTCGAGCGGGGGTGCGGCAGGCGTTGAGTCGGGGGATCAGCAGTCCACCACAGTAGAGCGTCCAGGGGGCTCGAGCCTCAGCACGGCTGGGGATCAGGATAATATCGCCTGCTCCGCTGCTGCTGCTACTGATGCCGCCGTCACTCATTTCGATATTTCCCATTATTTGTGGGCATCGCTCTCGGCTCAAGCTTCTTGGCACCCACGCTCTTTCCAAGACGTTTGGCGGCCCGAGCAAGACACCCTCGCGTTCGCAGCGGGCCGCCAGCACGTACTACCAGTCAGCAATTGCTTATCTCGCTGGGTCGGGATAGCCGAATCCGAAATATCGGCGCACCACGGTCTGGTCCCGCCTCTTCGTTCCCTGGGAAGAGGGAGTTGACGCGGTGGTAGTTCCACCCAAGCAAACAGAGCATATCAGACAGCAGCCACTTTGCGACGGAGTTGCTGCGAGGTGGGCCAGGGCCCACACCATACTCGAGCAAGCCGTTCGGCTTCGTCGGCGGCGAAACGGCGCCCTGCAGCTAGCCGACATCCGCCGTGCTGCGCAGGGCCTGGCAGATCGGCCGCTGGATGAAGCTGGGTGCTCGTTCGCAGGGGGGTCGACTTTGTCCTGGAAGGGCATGCTGCGCGGGCTGCGATCTTTGCCCAACCAGTTGCTCGATCAACCTGAGTCCCTCGAGGAGGCTGCCTTCCGCTCAGCAAGACGAGCACAGGACAGGGCAGCATCGGAATCTCTGCGTGCTTTCCAGGACTGGCTCCCCACGCCATCCGGCACCGTGCACAGGTCCGTCAAGGACCCCGAAGCCGAGCAAGACGAGCTGCACGACGGTGGCTCCAGCTGGGCGCACCCAGTTGACATCATCGATCAGAAGGTCGAGGGCTGGCTCTCCCTCTGGCGGTCCAGCACCGCGACCTACGACGAGACTCCCGGCGCGTGCGAGCTCATCCGC